CTCCCACCCACCCCAGTGTTCATGCCAGGACATTTTGCACAGAAAGTTGGGTCTCTTTTTTTCTTGACAGAGAAAGGTGGTACCTGCCCAGGATCACATAGCACTGCACGTAGCATGGACTATTTGTTTTGTTTTGTTTTGTTTTGTTTGAGATTTAAGCTTTCACTTGTGGGGAGTGAGAGTCACCCTCAAGTAAGACAATAATAGTGAGATTCAGGTACTTCAGAACCACTGACACCTCTCTTCATAGGGCAGATAAGCCAGCCCAAGTTCTCTTTCAAAGAGAAAGGGACTCACAGCTGGTGGGCTGAGTGCCAGGACCCCTCACCTTGTAGACAAAATCCGGCCATCAGTCTGGGGAGAGTATATCCAGGACAGTGGTGGGGCTGGGTCTTGAATGCAGATCTGCACCTAAAAACTAAGGGAAATGGATCATTCCCAAAGGGGCTGAGGACACCCACCCCTCATGAGCGGTCATTGGCAAGGGAGCAAGGCTACCCCAAGAGCCATATGGCAGCTGCCATCCCTCTGGACCGCAAACCATGCTTAGCATCTGCTCCCACCAGCCGGCTGGCATCTCCCCACCATGGCTGCTCTGAGGGGCAGAGGTGGGCTCTGTTTATGAGGGCTGTCAGACCACCCAGCCAAATCGCTCCTCGGCACCAGATGCAGCCTTTGGCCGCGACGGAGGCGCTATTAGCTGGTTAGCTAACAGGTCAGCCACCCTAATTTCAGAGACTAGCATTGCCTTCAGACTGGTCTCGTCTCTTTTGCCTTAATGCTGGGTGGCCCAAGATCCCAGGGAACTCTGGTTTCACGCCCAGGAGTACCATGTGTGGCAGCTGAGGTTTGGGCATCCTCAGGAAGGGTCTGGCTAAAATTGTGGTAAGAATAGATGCATCAAGGAAGGCAATGAGGAAGCGAAGCTGTGGATGACTGGTGGGGCTGTCATGGAGAGCGGCCTCCACGGAGAGTGGTCACAGCACCTCAGTCCATCGTGTGACATTTAGAAACACTCAGTCCCTGGGCAGGCCACAAGTTAGAGGTCACCTGGTCACCTGCCAGAGGTCATCTGGCAGATTAACAAGAAAGCTACCTGTGCCTGAGACGGTGCCATCTGCCCGGGGAGGGTCATGGGGGTAGGATGCAAACCATGCTACGTTTTGTTCTTGCACATGTCATGAAAACAAGGCTGGAGAGAGCCCAGACTTCAGGAACTTCTGCCCATAGCATGTGGCACCCATGACCCCTGTCCACTTGCTAGGGGCCCAGCGAAGCCACACTGGACGGTTGGTTTTGTTCACTCCAGCCACACAGGGACAAAAGGGATCTTTTGCATTGCAGAGATTTTCTACATATATATATTTTGTTTGTAATGAGCCATTCTCAATAAACATTATTCTCACTGCAAAATGATGGCAGCTTATGGCCCACCTTTGTGAATTCTTGTTTCCCTCCTAAATTCTCAGCATGAGCACATGTGAATCCAGGTCCTTGGCCTGCCATACCAGGTTGTAGCTCAGACTAGAATCCTATTTAACTGCTTTTCGGTTCTGCCTCCCTCCTGATCCTCATATAAGGATTAGGTAGGCAATGCTAGAAACAGAAGGGCGTCAGAGCTGAGCTTGACTGTGGTTCTTGAAGAGGGCGTGAAGGGCACACAGCTTTGGGCAGGAGGAGGGTCTGGGGGGTGGTGGAATCAAATGAGGGAGACGGTGGGGCCCATAGGAGGCAATAGATGGGGGGAGTCCTGTGGGCAGGACTCCGGCATTCCCTGTACCATCCACCCCCAGTCAGCAGCTCCCCTCACTTGGTAGCTATTGGGGTCTTCTAGTGTTACATTTGATAAGGATTCTATTTCTGAAAAAAAGGACATGTGTGTAAATCCTGCAGTATCTGGCAGCCTCGGACCTGCCCCAGGTCTCACAGAGAGCTGAAAGAGCCAGAGCAGGCCTCTTGGGTAGGGTCCCAGTCTCCAGCTGGGACCTCATCCTGACTGACTGCTGCTCTGCCCCTCCCCAAGCCCCACATTGAGGGGATGTATTAGGAGTTCTGACTGAGATCTTGGACCCTTCTCCAAACTGGAGAGCAGCCCTGTAGACATACTTTCAATCAGGGAGTTGACCAGCTGAGGACGGGGTGCCCTGCTAGAGTATGCCAGGCAGCACAGCACGTATTCTGCATGTGTAACCGACAACACTGGCCCCTTTCTGTGCTTCAGCAGGAGCCTTCTGCCCATCCTAGGGGAAGGGGCCCCATCCTGAATGCACATATCATGGTTGGGACAGGCATGAGAAAGACTGGCTTGGGGCCTCTGAGTGACCATTGAATACAATTATGGGAGAAAAATGACGATGAAGGAGGTGTTGAACCAGGACAAATGTGGATAAGGTAACAAGAACTGGGTAGAGCTGGCTGCTCAGAGCATGCAGATGAGGATAAGAGGGGGACAGGCTGAGGATTCCTGGGAGGGGCCCCACTGGAGCCAAGGGGCCCGGACAGAACAGAGAGCTGGGTGCAGCCGAACTGGTGCCTTTGGCCTGGGGCCTTTTAAGCTGTTGGCCAGGGCTGCAGTCACCTCAAGGTTTGACATCCTGGGGCATCTGCTTCCAGGCTCACGAATAGGGCTGTTGACCACAGACTGCCTGGGTGTCCTCATCATATGGCAAGTGGTAATGACATAAAGTTGGGGGAGGGGGTGGAGAGAGAGAGAGAGAATGAGCACCCAGTATGGAAGCCACAGCCTTTAAAAAAAATTTTTTTTTAACTTTTATTCATTTTTGAGAGAGAGAGAGAGAGAGAGAGAGAGAGAGAGAGAGAGAGAGAACATGAGTGGGGGAGGGGCTGAGAGAGAGGGAGACACAGAATCTGAAGCAGGCTCCAGGCTCTGAGCTGTCAGCACAGAGCCCAATACAGGGCTCAAACCCACAGACCGTGAGATTATGACCTGAGCCGAAGTTGGATGCTTAACCAACTGAGCCACCCAGGTGCCCCAAGCCACAGCCTTTTAATAACCTAATCTCAAAAGTGACATCCTAGGGGCACCTGGGTGGCTCAGTCGGTTGAGCATCCGACTTTAGCTCAGGTCATGATCTCACAGTTGTGGGTTCGAGCCCCATGTTGGGTTCTGCGCTGACAGTTCAGAGCCTGGAACCTGCTTCAGATTCTGTGTCTCCCTATCTCTCTCTGCCCCTCCCTCACCTGCTCTCTCTCTCTCCCTCTCTCAAAAATAAATAACTACATATTTTTAAAAATGGGGCACCTGGGTGGCTCAGTTGGTTAAGTGTCCGACTCTTGATTTCAGCTTTCAGCTCAGGTCATGGTCTCATGGTTAGTGGGTTCAAGCCCCACATTGGGCTTTTTGCTGACAGCATGCAGAGACTGCTTGAAATTCTCTCTTCTCTCTCTCTCTCTCTCTCTCTCTGCCCTTCCCCCTGCTCACACATTCTCTCTCTCTCTCTCAAAAATAAACTTAAAAAAAAAAAGAAGTTACATCCTATCATTTCTGCAGGACTCTGTTTGTTAGAAATGCACCAGTAAATCCAGTATACACTGGGGATTACACAGGGCTAGGATACAGGAGGCAAGGATCACGGGAGTTCTGGTGGTTACATTTTTTAAATCTCATAACAGAGCTAGGAATACCCCTGGAGACCTCTGGTCTAGCACATCCTGAGGCATGCCCTTCAGAATATATCAGTGGTGAGAATCTCTGTATAACAGGGTACCCTGGTCAGGTCAGCTTGGCAAACACTGCATGCTACCTACAGTCCCCTCTGGGAGATCTAGGATGTACAGAAAAGGCTCTGTATAATCCTGCAGCAAGGGGACTCCCTTTATTTAGGTTTTCCCCCAATTAGCCACAGTTGTTCTTGTGTAACACTAGTATCCCGTGAAGCATGCTGACACTTGAGTAACCGTTGGTCCAGTCCGAGGGGGAGAGTGCAGCCCAGCGAAGGGAGCAACTGGTCCAAAGTCATCACTCAA